TCCAGAGATAAAGTGTAATATCAAAAATCAGGAAATCTGTGTGAAGATACTTTGTTCTGTTTTGTGTTAATACTTTGGAACAATTTAGTTTACACAAGCTTGACTATTCATTGTAAAGCCCCGATGTGACCAAGATTATGACCAATATATTTGCCCATTGCCTTGTTTTACAAAGCCTTGCAGCATTGTCCAAATGGGATATAATTGTCCTATTTGGGATATAATTCTGGCATTCTGGTATTTTATGGAAAGTATTGAATCATTTTCTAATTGGAATTTATAATTTTTGAGGGATTTGAAGTTCAGCTGGTTCAGTTTTTTTCAGTTATACTTCTGGCTTAACAAACATTTCTTAAATTAAGCAAGTTTGAAGACTTGCAAGAGGGAGGACTAGATTTTTCAGAACTATTTTGCAGTTCAGAATGTTAATACTTGGGAAACTGCAACATTAAATTTTACAGTTTGGAATTTGTTGCTTCTTGTATAAAATATGTCTTTGTCCTCCCTAACAGATTAATTATTTTCACAGTAGAAAAAGCTTTGATATAAGCTGAGACAAATAAAACAGATGTTTCAAGTTGAATTTTCTCCAGAGAAAGAGATTCCTTGCTTTGTTTATGTGAAGCAGACAGGGTTTATAGGCTCCTGCCACAGCTGGGAATCCAAGCAGGATTTGAATTTTGTTGATGATATTTGATACAGTCACAGCTGTCCAAGAGAAAAGGACATATATATTCAGGATGGATTGGGACTTCTCCTTTCTTCCTGCCTTAGGACTTCAGCAGGCTTCATTTCTCTTTTGCTGACCATCTCCTGGTCAGGATGCTCAAATCTTCCTAAGAGCAAAGTTCCAGTAGAAAGGCAAACAGATAGCTACACTCAATCATGCATGTTCATCTGGGTGGAAAAAGGCCTACTGTGAAGAGGGGAAGGAAATGGAGAATGATAGCTGCAGCACTAAGAAGCAGGAGTTTGTTCTGGGCCAGTTCCCAATTGAATACTTGGCTAAGCTTGTGGCTTCCTTTGAGATATCAAAGGGTATGTAGAGAGATAAGTTGTTCCGTTATACCCTTTAGATTATGCATGTGGATATCTCTAGGATTTCCTAACTATTAGAGAAAATAACCCAGCTCCCTTCTAGCATCACAAACTATTTGATTTCTGATATTTTTTTAGTTATAAATTTTTGTGTTATAAACAAGTGTTTATAGCTGCATGCATTATTTTAGGCATGGTTTTTTTATAAATGAAGTACATTTGGGGGTTTGTATGTAATAAGATATAAGTTGCTGTTTTTAAAAACAAAGTACAAAGTGCTTGAAACCAATGACAGGAATAAAATGGCATATAAATATTTTGTGAAAAATATATTGCAAATATAATCAATGTAATTGTATATGTATGGAAGGGATATAGATGATTATGTTCTGTACTATCTAGAAATTGTGACTAATTTTTAGGGATAAGAGACCTAGGCAGTTGTCTATTCCTTTTTCCTCCTTTTGTTCTGTTTTATGGACATTCCATTTATAACAAAGTTTTAAAATAAATATATTAAATTAATTGTATAGGCACAGCATGCATACATGTGGATTACAAAGTTTGTATAATATATCTACTGAATTTTTAAAAGAATACTTTGAAAAATCTTTCCAAGGTATTGCTGTTTTAAATCCAAGTATCCATATGAAAACTTTTAATAACTTTTTTGTAAACAGGGGACAATAAACAATTATATTTGTGTCTAGATACAATTCTGGCCAATGTACACTTTTATATGTAAAATTAATACTTATTAAGTAACCCCTTAATTCTGGAAGAGTTTGCTGGAAATTGTACAATTTACAGAATTTAGTCTTATTTTACAAAACAAATATGTCTTGTGTGCCATAACATTTTATTCAGAAAAAAATTTCCCATTGTATCTGTCTGTAGCACATAATACAGTAAGCGTATTATAGGGTAGTGGAATAAATCTTCAATATTCGTGTTTATATGGTGATCACTGTCTGTTCAAGATAGTGCCCCTTTTTTTTAAAAAAAAAACCACCCCTATTCTTTATGTGTTTCTGTTGTATAAAAGACATTAATTCTGATCTAACAAAATGCATGTCTCCAGTCTTAAGAAAAAATAGGAAATGGCTCTTCCATTTGGCATTATATTTCCTTGTCTATCCATTACATGCAGCTGTTAACCTTCCAAATTAATGACTTCCCTTGTAAGATGAGCTCAATGACATCCTTGTATTTAGTATCACTGAACAACAGAAGATGCTAACTTTTCTCTTTAGCTTCCTTGTTACCCTGGCAAATGAACGTGTTTGAATGAGAAGAAGCTCTAAGAATTCATAAAAGTACCAAGAGAAGTTTATAGGATTTCTTTTTGTTTTTGAAAGGCTCAGTAACATTCTAGCAGATTAAGATTATTTCAGTTTTCATTGCCAGTGGAACAGATACAGATACTTAATTTTTCACTAAACAATTTTTAAACTTGTAGCTGTAGAAAACTAGCTTTGCAATGGATTTTTTAAAAAAGGGACCCAAGAACATCTAATAAGTTATTAAGCCAGTAAGCTTAATGTCTGTTTATGTGCAAACTGATAGAAGTAATCATCAAAGAAATGTAACTAAGCATGTAGATAAACACACCTTAAAATCAGCATGGATTCTGTGCAATCTACTTAAAAACATTTAGGTAGGCTAAGGTGAGCTTTAGTATGATTCAGCAGGGTTTTTGATATGCTCTTCCGTTCATCAGTACTGCTACAATGTAAACTGAAACTTAACAGTATGGCAATCCCATGGAGTCCTAGGAACTCTTAAATTAAATATTGAATCAATGAGCTTTACATTATAGAAATTTTCTTATAAATCAGAGAAAGAATGGTTTTTTCTTGCTGATTTAGAATGTTCCAGAGTATTTTTCTTTTCAGTATACCATAAAAATAAACAGTTCTCATTGATAGGCCAGCTGTGAAACTCTGGTAGACAGCTGTGAGATATTGGCTTACCTCTTCTTTGTATGAAGTTCTCTGTTCCCAAAACTTTTTCTTGCTTTATATAAGAACATGAAGATATATTGTGATGCCCCTATACCTGTTTTCTTAGGAAATATGAAAGTAAAGGATGAAAGGGAGATTTAGCTATGAACAAGGAAATTCTGTGACCCCTAATGTAGTTTAGGATCAAAAGGAGAAAATTGGGGGGGGGGGAGATAAAGAGCCCAGTGAAAAGTTAAGAAAGATGCTTCTTAGAAACCTAGCAGATTGAAATAAAAATATTTTATTCTTCCAATTAGAGTTACACCATCAGCAAACCTATTGCAAAAATCATAGTATTATTCAGAAAAAAAAAACTTTAGTTATAGGATTGGTCATTTTGTGCAATAATTCTATTCAATTTTAATAATCTAACTTGCCAGTGGAAGTTAAGCCTACAAGGATCTATTGATGGAATAACACAAAATATCTGGTATATTGTTGATGAAATATCACGTTTTTATGCATTTGTAATCTTTTTTTTCTTCAAAACCAAACCAAACATTTTATGAGAAATTTATACAGTAGTGTAACATTAACATTTAGTCTGCTTTGATTTGGGGTAAAAGAAATCTACATGGATATGGAAAAATGTTTTGCCATATTTGAGACAGGAGCTAATTGGCTTAGAATTTGTGTTATCTGATCAGGATAGGATTCCTTCAGCTAAACTAGATTTTTCCCCAGCATGTTTGATCACTGAAACAGAATTTCCTGCCCCAACCACTTATTGTTGAATGATCTCTCTTTTTTCTGCTTACACTGACTTAAGAACTACTTATCTCTTTGTCTGTTATCTTTATGTCATTGCAATTAATCCCTATTTTCTTTACACTGGAGAGCATGATTGTCCAACCTTCTGGTTTGCCTGGGCTACATTGTGTGATGAGGAATAGTCTTGGGCTGCATATAAAATATATAATTAATGTATATAAATAACAAACTTCCTTTATTTTTTAATATTTTTATCATCTTGTTGGACTGCATTACTAGCTCTTCCAGGCCACATACAGCCAATGGGCCGCAGGTTGGACATATCTGCTGTAAAGCCTTTGCCTTATTTTCCTTCTATCATTAGGAAATTAACATGTTACCATTTCTGTTTCATCGTAGCTAATGTATCATTGAACCTGAAAGCATTAAAGGTAACACTTCATCTGGAACAAAACCCCAGAAATAATATGATAGCTCCGGGAGTATAATTACAAATCTAACTGTGACTTTGTTTCTGCTAATTAAGAATACATACAGAGAATGGAAATTAATTAATAAAGTTTATACTGGGAACATACATGTTCTCAAATCTGAGTATGGCTTTGTTACAGATACAAGTCATTGTACAGTAATGTTTTATCTTTATTAATGTAAATATAATCTTGAAGAATATGGAACTAATAAAATCCCCATGATAAGGTTCTTCACATATGTTGTGATTATGACTTCCACAATTCCTGTTCCCCATGCTGAGAGTTGTGACCCCCAATACATCTACAGGGAGCTAGGTTCCTGAAGATAGCCTTACATCACACAACATGTAGTATGATTTATGGCAACTCTTATTTATGTAACATTGTAACATAGAATTACCATATGTTCCAAACTACAAGGCAATTTCTCTTTGGTTACCATAAAGGTCCGTATCTTCTGAACAGACTTTTTTATTATTATTATATGAGATTAATTTTTTCGTATATGATGTTAAATAGCAGAATATATACTGACAAGCATCTATAACAGGTTGACTAAACCACCTTTTGGATATTCCCAGGTTGTTAAAATTATGTTCAGAATATTGCACTAATATGCAAAATAGCTACAGCCTACCAGCATGCAAAGCATTCTTTTGAAGCATTTAGCTCATTCCTTCAGTTTCACCTCTTTGCCCTTCGCCATTCAGAATCACTAACTACTGCTTGGGTTTAAAGGTAATTCTGTTGTTTATTTTTATGGCTCAAACTCCAGGAAAAAATAAAGCTTGATGCTGAGAGGGAAAAACTAGAAAAGCTTCAGGAGCTTTACTCCGAGCAGAAGACTCAGCTTGATAATTGCCCCGAGTCCATGAGGGAACAATTACAGCAGCAGCTTAACAGGGTCAGTAGCATGGATGTGGTGTTTCTTTAGTGATTGTTATCAGATCAAGCCCAAAGATTTCTAACCAACTCTTTTTCATGGCTTCAGTGCTGATTTTCTATATTGCTGTTAAGAATGTAAGTGCATGGTGACAACTAAACAGAATGTGAAAAGCTGGATTAACAATGGATGTGCACTACAGGCTTCAAAAGTTATCAGTCATCTAAGGCTTAGCACTCTGTGACATTGAACACTAAAGTATGACTGAGTATGAGTGGAATTTTGATGTTTAATCAGATTAGGAATAGATAAGATCTATTTGTCTAAATATGGAAAGAATTCTCAATTAGGCATGAAGGATTACTTATTTAATTCTTACTGCAGCATTATTAATCTTAAATGTGCATATTCACTTCGAAAATTAATGTATAAACTAAGCCCTTCCCCAAATTATTCTTTCCTATTAGATTGTATTTTGATCATTCCATGTAATTTGATGACTGCTTTGTTTTAATTTTACAACCGTTGTAAATATAAATTTATAACACAATAAAAAAGAAACATAGGAAATAGTGGGAGATTTGGGAATATGGAAAGGTCATCCAGACTAGAATCATCAAACATTTCCAGATCAGATGATTATGAAAGCAAAACCTATTTTTTTCTTTCCTGAAAAAGAAAAAATTTAAAGTGAAATTTGGTAAAAATAAATAAATAAATAAATCTGAGGCATGTAGCTGAAGTCAAACAGCCTACAAACAGTTCATTCATGATCCAAGCCATAATCATGCCCATTCTAAACTGCAACATTTCTTCATATTGGCACCCCCTTTAATATAATTTAAAGATTTGTTTTCTTTTTTTGAAGTGCATATTTAGCATCTAAATACCTCTGTTCATGATGGCTAGGCTAAAATAAAACAATGGATCTGTTGTCATTGATTAATTTGAGGATGTACATGATAATTTTAATTTCAGGTCAACAGGTATTTTAAAATCATGCTTAAATAGACTTAGGCATGCTTAAATAGACTTCTCTAGGATGTAATTTATTTTTATTTATTTATTTTTTATTTTGCTTTATGTCAGCTTTCACAAGCACAAGTCTTTAAAACTGATACATTTATTTTTATTTTTCTTATTGAAGGATGCAGACTTGTTGGAGGTAGAAAGCAAACATTTTGAAGATTTGGAATTTCAGCAGCTTGAAAATGAGAGCAGATTAGACGAAGAAAAAGAGAATTTAACACAACAGCTTCTGCGTGAAGTTGCTGAATATCAGCGTAGCATTGTTAGCAGAAAGGTAATTTTTTAAAAAGAAAAATGATCAGATCATTATCTTTGAATATTTCAGTGCCAGCTGATTGCAGTTGTTAATCTAGCCAACAACTAGCAATTTAACTAACAATTCAGTTAATCATTAATTTCTGGATTTGCCCACTAAGGTTTAGTAATTACTTAACATATGAAAAATATTCTAAAGTATTATATTTTCATTTCTTTGTTTCTTAACAAGAACATTTTTTTATTTTTAAGAGAGATGGTACCTTTCCGAGAAACTTATTTGTCTTTGTACACATGTTCTGTAACATTCATAAATACCTATCCTCCCATAATTCTTCTCTTTCTATTTACTCTTCTATTTTGGAGTAGTACTAGAGGAATATTGATAGTGCCATCTATTAGTGCTGCTGGAATATGCAAGCATGTGAAGTCCAATCACAGGACTTCTACCCAATACAAAGAAAAAAAATAGAGTGAGATGTTACTTCTTCTGTAATCTTCTCTGTAAATTTGTGTAAATTTGACTTTCAAATGGGTAGGAACTATATGAACAATACTCTAAAGCTCATATTAAGTATGTGTTAACATTATCTTTATGATAGGAAAAGGTTTCTGCTCTCAAAAAACAAGCCAATCACATTGTACAACAAGCACAAAGAGAACAAGATCATTTTGTGAAAGAAAAAAACAATTTACTAATGATGTTGCAGAGGGTAAGCAATTCTTCCTTTTTCTTCCAAGAACTTAATTAAATGTTACAAATACAGATATTATGTGGCTCAACTTCCTCTTTTTTTAAAAAAAATGTAAACACATATAGTTAGTATAATACCACCATGTATCATAGAGAAGTCTGTAATATATACAGTCCAATGAAGAAGTGAATAATGTATATAGTGAAGCCAATTGGAACTGTATTTTCCATAACACTGGAATGAATATGAATCTTTACATTAACATGCAGTGGATTTGTTAAATTTTCCTCAGCAGGTGTATCAGGAAAAGTACAAGTATATTTGTGTATATCATCTAGTGTTTGCTGAGGGAATTAATTGGTATTAAAACCAATCCAGCAAACAAATTGGGAAGGATATCTCTATTGTCTATACTGTGAAGATAGAACAAAAATTTTAAAAATGCATTTGTGAACAATATTCAGTTGAAACATCTTAAAAAAATTTTTTTTTACAAATCTAGTTACATTTGAAAGAAAAGAAATACAGTTTAGACATTTGTATAACATCTGTCTCAAATATAACTTATTTTTTACAGGAGAAAGAAAATCTTTGCAATTTAGAAAAGAAGTATTCCTCACTATCTGGAGGCAAGGGATTTTCTCTCAGTCCCAGCAGTCTAAAAGAGGTAGTGTGAGATTTGGGAGAAAGGGTTGGTAACTGCCTTATTTTCCATATTATTGCAACCAAAGTTCAATGAAAAATGACTTGTATTTCACTACTTCTATAAAAGGACTCATTAATATTAATTGCTAATATTTTGACGGTGGTCAGTTATTGTAAGGAGGATTTTCTAATAAAATGTGACATAGACATGTGCACTAAAAGGAAATATGTATTGTTTTGAAGCACAAACATTACATTCATTACAAGCATTACATTCCAGGCGTTCAGCTTAAGCTTTTGGATCAAGGATGGTTGGGTAAGTTCTAGGGTTTGAATGAAACAAATCCAGAGGAATCAAAGATTATTTTAACAGGGCATGTAGTGTGGTGCTGAAATAATTGATCTTCTAAATGGTCTTCAGTTTTCTTAGATTCCGTGTCCTTTTTTTTTATCTTATTCCATTTGCATGCAAACTTCAGTGATCATTTTTTTTATTATGCAGACATATATTTCAGTGTTAGAAGAGTTGTAAAAAATGTGACACATTAGAAAGGAAAAAGAAAAAATCAGATTCTTTGAGTGCATCCTTTCAGTTCTTGCTTGTGCCTAAAACTTTTCTGCTACTATTGCTGCTGCTCTAACGACTTTCTTATTTTTATTGAGAATTGCAGCTGTTATAATCCTTGTATAAAGAATATTAGAATAAAGAATTATTAGAGTATTCTGCAAAACATTTGATTTCAAACATATCTCTGGTTCATGAATTTATTTTGATAGAATTGAAAAAGTAAGATTCTGTCATATTTTTGTTTCTTCTAGTGAGCTTCATATTTTAAAAGACTTTTAAGTGTTTGCTTGCTTTAAAAAGCAGCTTAATTCCCATTCTTTATTGGGATCGTGCTTGAAAATAGTCAAGCATGACTATTCAAATAGTCAAATTTTCAGAGTGCTACATAAAGTCTTTCTAGAATATGGTAGTGTTTTATTTAAGCACTTATTATATTAACCTGAGATAATATGAAAATTGTAGTAAATGTAAAGCATGGAGAGTTCAGCATAGATGATTGAAAAAGTATGTCAAGAAAACAGTTTTGTAATATCACAGCATTGGCTGTATCACTCTAAACTAACTTTCACAGATAATTTCAAATTTTAATATTCTTGCATGCCTTTTGACTTTTGCTTTTGTATGTTTAACCTCTGAATTCCTCCTTTTAGGATTTTGTGAATGTAAATGACATTAGTGACCCGCATGGCAATTCCACGAATATCTCCCCTTCCACTCAGCCCCCCTCTGCTGCTGCTGCTGTTCCCACTGAACCTTCCACAGCTGGCCTGATAAGCCAGTCACAAAATAAAGAGGTTTGTTGGAGAGATGTTTGCCATGTGTAAACATTATGCTTTCAAATTTTGTTCCCTTGGTGTTCACAGGTTGTAGTAAACCTTTTTATCAGTTAAAAAGTTGGGTAGGGAGATGAGTTAATTTTTCTCCTATGGGTCTCTTTCAGGAACAGATGTGTGTATGTTTATTTGTCTTGGGTGTATCTTGTGTCTTCCGTTCTTTTCCAGAGTGCTGATAAAGTAACTGGGATTTTGTTATATTCTCATTGAACCCTTATGTTTACACCATTCCCATTTTAATTTCCAGAAAAAAACAGCAAAGCAAGGTCTATTTTCCCTAATAGGATATCATAAACCTAGTATCAAAATATTAGGTGTGGTGGAAGAAAAATACCATTTGTTTTTTTCTGTAAACTGTAAATCACACTTCATGCATCTGATAAAGTGAGCTCTGGCTTTTCCCACAATAAACTTCTTTGTAGTATTTGCATCCTGTATGTATGTTTAAAACTCTCATACCATTTCTTTTTTTTCTATAAAGCTAAGATCACCTTTCTGTTATGGATCTGTGATTCCTCACTCTCTCTCTCCTCGCCCTCTTGCACAACTCTCACCAGCCGACTGGCCTGAGGTCAGGGCTGCCAATATAGAGTCTTTTACTTTACCTGATACACCACCTCCTCTACCAGCTAAGAAAAACCGAAGGGAACCCCAGGTAACATGCCAGAAGGCAGGCTGTCTTGGTAATGATATGATTATCGTTGCATGCCACAGTTTGAAAAAGTGCATGGAAAATAATCATTAGTAAGCTCTCCAGAACCCTAAAGGTCTGAATGTATGGTCCTTTTCCTTAAAACTGACTGATGGAATTCTAACATTTTGCACACAGAGTTCTATGTACATTAGTTGAGAAAATTTGTACATGCATCTTGTTAAGGACCACCCACTTAAACATCATCTTAGGCATGCACAATTTCTTTATTGAGACCAATGTCTTTACTCTTAACAGTTTTATGTCACACTGACATATACAGTGCTGGTTAGTAATATTACAATCCTTTTTCTGTAAAAGTAGGAGTTGAAGAGATGATTTGAAAATAATTGTTTATCTTCATTAACATTTTGAATGGCTATTATCCAGTGGTGAGCTGCAAAGTGGTTTACCACCAGTTTAGTGGGTATGGCTTGGTGGGTGTGCTTTGCATGCATGCGCACACTTTGCGTGCGTGCCAAACAGCCACTTTGCGCACCCGCAGAGGCTTTCCTACTAACCTCCTGCAATCCTGCACTCTCCCTGTAGCTTTAACAGCTGATGCGTGGCAATCTGCTATGCCATGCAAAGCAGCTGCGCTTCAAAGGCAGGGAATAAAGGTCAGTATGGGAGAGCAGGCAGGTGGGCCCAACAGCAGCTCATCAGAGAGTTCAGTCTCCGCGCTGATCTTCGGTTCTACCAGTACACCAGAACCAGGACGAACTGGTAGAATAGCACCACTGCTATTGTCTCATTCTGATACTGGCATAGACTTATATGTATGGTATGAAGCATTAAGAATGCTTCCAAAATAACTCTGAAGCCACATTCACAGTTTACAAGCAAAGCACTCTGAAATCTGTTCCAAATATGAGATTATATTTCATTGAAGAATTCATTTATAGATCTCCTATATTTGTAGCCACAAGTTGTTTTCTTTGAGTAGATACTTGGTAATGATATGATTATTGTGGCATGCCACAGTTTGAAAAAGTACATGGAAAATAATCATTAGTAAGCTCTCCAGAACCCTAAAGGTCTGAATGTATGGTCCTTTCCCTTAAAACTGACTGATGGAATTCTAACATTTTGCACACAGAGTTCTATGTACATTAGTTGAGAAAATAAAAGTTACATTTTTATTACATGGTAAACTTTGCTGGTATCCCTGTGTGTTACTGAGGAAGAAATCAATTTTAGACTACATTCTTTAGCTTCTTCTGGATAAAACAACTTCAGAACCCTTAATCCAGAGGTGGGCTGCTGCCAGTTTTGCACTGGCTTGGCCAAACCGGTAGTTAAGATTCTGCACAGTTTGGCGAAATGACAAATCCCATCACTGATGGGTCTTGCCCCCGCTCGGTTCATTTTGGGGGGCCAAATACAGCCTGAAAATGGCCCCCAAAACAAGCTGAAAATGGCGGGGGTGGGACCAGCCAGTGGTGGGATTAGCCCCAACTGTCTGAATGCTACCCCTGTGTTTGAGGTGAGCGGCCAGGAGGCATAGCTGGGTGTGATGAGTGATGTCACCCACCTAGTCATATAACCAACCGGCCACGCCTACCCAGCCAGAGAACTGGTTGTTAAGTAGTCCAGTCACACCACTGCCTTATTCTTTACAGTATGGCAAGACAAGTTAAACAACTCCACAATAACTAATCAGTTTTACCTTTATATGGAAGGAATGAGGTATTGCAAGTTGGTACATTGATTGGGTAAGCTGTAAAATCGGTTAACAGGACTTAGATTTACCCAGTAAGAGATTATCATTTAGCATGCAGTTGGCAATAATACATTTCATTAACATTAAACTAACTTTAAGAAACATCACCCCTATGCAATCTTCCTTTCTTATTAATAAATGATTACTTCTATTATACTTTGCATTTAAAACAAATTAGAGCAAATAAAATCACCAATAAAGAACTGTGTAATCTTTTTGTATTTTTGTTCAAAATATATGTGCCATTGTTCTTGTTCAAAAACATTTTTGGTATTTAAAATCACAGTGAAAATATATTATTCTTTTTGCTTATATTCAGCAATTATTAAATAGAACAGGATTTATGACAAGTATAGAAGTATCAGTATCAAGTATTAGAAAACACTTAAATGTAATATATTTATTCCTTTAATATAAAGATATATTACTGCAGTATGTTTACATTAAAATTAGTTTTCTTGTGGAAATCATTCATGTAACAGTAAATTATTTAAAATTTTAATTATTTAAAATTTACTCTAATGTTTGGGAATCTGAAGACGTCTTGATTTTTTACCTTTTACCTTTGGCAATTTTCAGTTGTTTTAAAATTAAATTATGACTTTTCAGAAACATTAACATCCATAGCACGCCATCACACTAGAATTTTACACATTATTATTTATTTTAAGCATTTCCGAAATTTGGAAGAGAGAAAGAAGCAGCACAAAGAAGGCCTGTACATGAGTGATACTTTGCCTCGCAAGAAAACAGCTCCTCCCATATCACCTCATTTCAGTAGTTCTACTCTTGGACGAACTGTTAAGGTAAGCAATTGTACTGCTCAATTTCAAGTTTCAAGAATTTCTTTGAATTTTGAGTTAATGAAGTTCAGTAGAAACTTAATCAGCTTGAATGATGGCTTTCTCTTCACACATGCACATGTACATTATCAATATTTACACGATATAATAATATAAAATTGTATTACTTTAATCTTCAAATAAAAGTTTTGGGTAGCAAACGTGAAACATAATTCCCATGCAATTTCCCTCCTGTGAGAGAAAGTAGCTGATTTCAGACTGCCAAGCTATTTCAGAGCTGAACTAAATTTGACCTTAGAGCTTCTTGTTAAAGGACCAGTCAGATAATCGCTATGTATTTATGGCATGGTGAAATTCAAAATATTTTATATTTATATAGTCCCTGCAGGGACTCATTTTGTTTTAGACTCCATCTTCCATAAATAAGGTGAATTAATTTTAAGAGGAACACCCTGAGTGTTTTGCTGAGGATAAACCCTAGTTAATGTCATCAAATACTTGTCTTGTATTTATCCTGGATTAAAAACCCCAGGATGTGCGCCGGTTGTGTTTTAAACTGGATTGCCTTAAGCTACTTTAAATAAAAAGTAATATTTCAGTTATACATAAAGTTCATTTGAAAAATTTATACATAAAAAGTGGTAGCTCTAAATAGTTTTTGTTTTGTTTTTTTGACAGGGTCACCTGCCACTTGGACAAAGCAGTAGCTGTGGCAACATACTTCCTCATTGTTCAGGATCTATGACCAAAGATTTGGAGACAAGGAGAACACATAAAGGTAATGATATTTAGAATTATTCCATATATTTACACGCAATAATATCTAATATAAATCATATTCACATTAACATTAAGTACATATTTACTTTAATTGAATAAATACCCAAATTAATTCAGCTTCATTTAGCTTTAGCTGTTTTAAATGGATACTTAAATTTTCTCATGCAAAACTGGTGTCTTTATTTGTATACTTCATTGTTGCACATATTCTTAATAATTTCTTACAGCAAGATTCCAATTAAGACATTGTTTGTGTTGAATTTATTAAATCTTGACTCAACTCAGTACGCATTTATTTTCAGATTGATCATAAACAGAACAGTTTTTTCTTGAAAGTGAAGTCCTTCAACGGTTTTTTTTTATGCTTTATTTATTATTTGAATAGTGCCTAAAAATTACTACCATACTAAATCTCATTTGCATTGTAGTTTGGAAATCAAGGGAACATTCCCAATCAAGGGCGCACGCGTGCACACACACACACACACACACACACACCTTCTGTAACTATATAGAGTAAAATACACTGGGAATATATTTATAGATGCTCACATTCAATCTTCCTGCACTTGGAACCTTTAGATATCAGATGAAAAACTAGAAGGTTTCCTTCCCAAGACATACCTCATTTTATTTGGCCTATTGAGTGAGCATTTGGTATCTAGCCAAATCTGTGACTACACTGTTGGATTAGAAGTCATATATAAGAAGGGATACACACTGTCCATTTTAAACTATTTCTAATATTTAAGACAAAGTACAAAATAGCTAATTAATTAAAAGTATTACAGTATAATGCTTATGCTTATTAATGTTCATAACAGCAACAGAAAACATATAGACAAACAAAAATATACTTTCAGCTGCCTTCTCTAATTATAAAATTAGATAGTACAGCCCTAACATTACTTAATTAAAAGTAATATCCACTACATTTAAAAGGATTCTGTGTGCTTACCTAACCTATTTAAAATACAGGTAGTCCTCAACTTACAACAGTTCATTTCGTGACTTTTGAAGTTCCGACAGCACTGACTTTTTCACACAACACTGCAGCATTCCCATGGTCACATGATCAAAATTCAGACGCTAGGCAACTGGTTCATATTTATGATGGTTTCAGTGTCCCAGGGACATGTGATCGCCTTTTGTGACTTTCTGACAAGCAAATCAATGAGAAAGCTAGATTTATTTAACAGCATTGTTACTAACTTAACGACTGCAGTGATTAATTCAACTGTGGCAAGAAAGTTTGTAAAATGGGACAAAACTTACTTAACTGTCTCAATTTTGATCGTAAGTCAAGGACCAGTTGTAGCTGAATTTTTATTTTTTAATTTATTATATGTACTTCCTGGAGAGGCGACCTTAATTCTTAGAACACTTATACTCAGCATCTTAAATATGCTGAATGAAATAACATATTTTGATAAAAACTGCAATCCAAAATATTTTGAAGAAAAAAATCTTATAAGAGAAACTGTCAGCCTTTTTTCACCAGTTCTTTTTTCTACAATTACATTTCTTTCTACATTTGTTTGATTTGTGCATCTCAGTAAGAATATTTGTTTTTAAAGATTTAGTATTTTAAAATAATTATATATATTTTTTCCTTTCTACTGTTTGTGTCATTAAAATCAGGTAAAAGCAAAAAAGGTATGAAAAACATTTTTCTGTGGTATTACATGCTTGATTTTACAGTACTAATGACAGAGAGGACACTGTCAAGTTGTTCAGAATCAATATGTGTGGAAATTTTAAATTTCCTATTCAAAAACTTAAGAAGGGTATTAGGATTTAAACAATCCCATGTTTAAATCATACAAACTCTCTCATATAATTAAAAATGGCATCAGATTGAAAACAAGACTATGCCCACAGGTTTTTGCCCTCAAATCTGTGGCGACAGAGAGGAATACTGCAGTAGGGGAGTTTGTTGAGATTGATGCCACCAGGATTCAAATGACAGCACTTATTTTGTAAATTCATTTTCCTGATACGTTTGAAGATAATGAATCCAATATTGAAGCTAGATCAGTTGAAACATCCTTCTCTTTTCTGTTTGTATTTATTAATCACTTGGGTATAATGTAAAGACAGCATACAAACAAATTCTTCAGGTTGATGTCAATTAATCTATCTTGGATTTGCAAATAAAACAAGCCAGGTTCATACAATGCATCTAGGTCTTGCAAAATATGTTGACAAATCTAAACAGTTGTGGCTTAGTCACATTGTTACTGCAACTGATATCACAAAAATATTGGCATCTATGTAAAAACCAATATTTATTTTCAGGAAGATGCAGACACTGGTTAAAATAAACATTTGCTTAATTTTGAAGGGAAGATATAAATATATAATATGCACACAATTGGAATTATAGCCTGGCATAGAATAAAAGTAGCATTTGTAGTGAGCTGTTTGTCCATATATGTATGTATAAAATATGCGTAAAATATATATACACATGTTAATTTTTTAGAAATTTGGTTTTCTTCCAACTCTTTTTTTCTGAAAATCACTGTTATTCGCAGAAGACAAATTAATGTTTGCCTGTCTAAATAAAAGGAAGAAAGTTCTCTTGTGAGTTCCGTTAAAGCCCTGTGGAAGGAAAAATGACTTTAAAATATCCTGTCTTTCCTTCTCTTGTTACCCTATAGCACACAAGGATACTGTGAGCTTTGTCCTCGTTTAATTGACTCATCTTTTTTCCATGTTTTCTTTAAAATATAAACACTCTTGAGATGATAACAGGAAACTGTTATTTGACTATTGCAACCATACATGTAGAAGAACAAGCTGAGGTGACAACTACTGATTTTCTGGATTGACAAAACTATTTAAAATTATTTCAATTAGCATATTAAAAGCATCTCTGATTCACCATAAACAGAAACAGACTCTTGACTGCGTTCTTTGATGTGGTTTGTACTTTTTTGGTGTGATTTCAACTCTTGTTCTGTTGTGATATTAATAACAATAATATAACAGGTTTCTTACAACTGTTTTTCTGCTTATTATTATTTATGATACTTTCAATTAATTTGGCTTGCTTGGTTTTTTTCTTTTTGAAAAACATTTCCATGCAGTGCTTTGAATGAGACATTAATTTGAGTTTTTCATTGTCATGCCAATATTTGCTTTTTGCAAATTTATTCATATTTTTAGTAAGACATAATATATGGATATTTATCTTACCTAGGATGGCAGACTAAATAAAAATTAAAAGTGTGGACTTCACCCGGTTTATCAAACTCTAAAAATTTTTTGCCTACCAAAATATATTCTCCCAGCAAATGTAGTAGTCTCCTGAATCAGTATTAGATATGTCACTGCTTCCTAAAATATATAATTTAAAGAATTGTTGTCCAAATATACAACTGATACTATTTCCACAGAACTCTTTAAAACATCACTTAAATTCAAGGGATACAAGTCTGTTCCACATTTATTGCCCTAGTTATTTAAAAGAAAAACCCCTTATCAAAAGCAAAATTCTTTTGAATATTGGATATTACAGAAGACCAATAGAACAGTGGTTAACATTGCAACCTTACAGATATATACAAAAGAAATAATCCCAGATCCTTTCTTTCTACAGTGCTATAGTTTTGGATTAATAAAACTTACAAAATTGTACAGATTTTTTTCTGCTTCCTTGACTTAACCCATTTTAAAGTTATTCACCACCACATGCTATGTAACATAAAATAAATGTGTGTGTATAGATGGGTTGGTAGATAGATAGATTAGATTAGATACTATAGATATAGATCAGTTTATATTTTAATTTTACATAACATGAAATAATACCCTGGGCTGAGTCAAGGTAGCAAAGAGAAGAAAGATCTCATTATATGTATATACTATTTGAGAATAGAGTTTATACTTATAAGAATCCTTATTAACAAAATTTCCAGTATCTAAAATAGAATGTGTATCTGGTTTTTAATGACCATTGTTTCAAATCCAGAGATAAGTACTGAATAAAAATGGCTCTTAAACAGATTTTAGTTTAATGTATTTGTGTTCACTATCAATGCTGTATTAACCCAGCTTATAAAACAGAAATGACTTTCCTTCTTTTTCTAGGTTATAATCATCAGCATCTCCGTGAGGATCAAAGCCAGAAGTCTCCTGAATTCTACAGCAGAACTGCCTCAGAATCAAATGTGTATCTGAATACCTTTCATTATCCTAATCCTAATCTGAAAGACCACACCTTTGATACTCTTAGTTTAGATAGCACAGACAGTATGGAGACAAGTATATCTGCCTGTTCCCCAGATAATATTTCCAGGTATATTGTGACACTGTTCAATTTATCAAGAAAATACAACACAATAATTACACATACCAGTATATTTGATTATTAAATATGAGTTTATTGAAATGTAGTTTTGTAGATCTTAGCCAGAGCAAGAAAAACATTTTATTTTTAGAAATACCCAGTCAATAGAGAGAAATATTTATGTAAGTGTGTGTGTGTGTGTATGTGTGTGTGTGTGTGTGTGTGTGTGTGTGTGTGTGTGTGTGTGTGTATATTTTCTGAGGTTCTCGCGGGTATTTGTATGTGGATCTTTGGTTGTTCGGGTTTTCTCCCGCGTAAGATTCAAAGTGTCTAGGCAACGTTTCGATGAAGTCTCATTCATCATCTTCAGGCTTTTGTCTCCGGCTCTGTGCTTCTCAGAGTAATGGAGATTGCAGCTGCTTCCTCCTTTTAACTGCCAGTGGGGGTGGGACTTGATTGGGTGGGGGCTTGGCTGTGTTCTGATTGGGTGGGGGTGTGTTCTCATTGGTAGGGGGTTTGGCTGTGTTCTGATTGGTTGGGGGGTTAGTCGTGTTCTGATTGGTTGGAGGCGTGTTCTGTTCAGGTGGGGGCTTGGTTGTGCTCAGGTTAGTCTTAGTTGCTGGGGGATTTGAGCTGGAGAGTTGTGATCTTGCTGTTTGGCTTCTAGTTCGTGGTCCTGCTGCATCTTCATAGTGGGTGTCGGTTTGCTTCATGTATGGCTCAGAGGGGTTTGAAGTGGGTAGTGATGCAGCTGCAGTGCAGTTTCTGGTCCATGGTCGTTTCTCATTTTCTGAATGGGTGGGAGTCTGTTTTCTACATGGAAGTGTGGTGGTGGCATCTTGTGTGGCTCTCATGGGTGTGGGTCCGGTGTCCTTTTTCATGTTAGGTACTCGTCTGTTCATGAGGGCGGGTTTCCAAATGGC